ACTCGTGTAACAAAAACCAGTGAAACATTTAGACATAATAACAAAAAAATATATTATATTATGATAACAATATAATAAAACTTTTAATATCATATATCTTCTTATACTTTCAACTACATAACTGAAATATTTATATAATATAACTTTATGTATTTAAAGATTTTTCTAATAAGGATAAAAATCGCTCTCGCTGAGCATAATTGTTTTCATGATGTCGTTGTTTTTGTTCAATTAATTGTTCAACCCAAGATGGTATTTGGGATTTTCTTTTTCTACTTATTCGCTTCTGTGCTAAGTTAGTTGATCCGAAATGTAATAAATTTTCTGCGTTTTCTTCATTATAGTTATTACAATTTGTCTCTATATTTATACTGTCAGATGTATTTAAAGTATTATTCAGTTGAAAACCTCGTGAACTTGATGCTAGAGATAACGGTGCAATTTCTGGTTTTTTAATTAACATGTCGTTAATAATATTATAATATTCCCATGTTTCTTTTGCTGCGCCTGTTTTATTATTTGCATCTTTTATATTTTTATATTTGTTTTTCATTCCAATCCATTTCACGTGACAATTTTCCGCCGACAAATTGTAACCATGAGTATTCATGGATGCAGCAATGTTTTTCCACACTTGCTTATTTACTGGACTCGTAAAAGATTCTACATGCTTATTTATTTCAGTTAACAGCAATTTCACCATCGCATCAGTCCACTGAGTTCTGTAATTTACTAAATAATATAATACAATAATTATTTACTGCTTGAGAGAATTTTGAATAATATTTATATATAATTATGTTAATTAAGGAATTATTATTATATACATACCAGCATCATGCACTTCATTTAATGATTGAGCCATTCTGTAGCACTATAGACCAAGCCAAATCTGTGGAACTTTAATAAATGTGTTGTAGATTAGAATAATTGAATTTCTTATTTCGGATATTCCACAAATACATGATATTTTCTCATAACTTTTTATAACTTCAATTTAATATTTATAATTTTCCTAAAATTTAATAATTAATTGATTTTTAATGTAATTGTTTCACATTTTACACAATTTTATTACCTGATAATGTTGACTCGTTCGAACGCTATTTACTAGGTTAACTAACTCTACTCGCCTTACCGGACAGCATTGAGTTGTCATAAATCATGAAGGTATTAGGTGGTCGTGCCTATCATATTTTTCGGTTCTGGTGGAACTAACTCATACTCGATTTACCGTAAACACCCAGTGACACTAATAGTGTTGTTATAGCGATAATATCACATTTTCCCGAAAACTAGATGGGAAAATGGTGGTACTAACAAAAACCCCTAGGCAACAATTTTAATTTCTGCGGATTAGTGATACTGTTGAAGTAGCAAGTCCATGAATTTTGTGGAGTCGTTTTGACATATGCGTGTGTATGTGTCAAATAACAAACTGTCACTAATCCGTAGAAATTAAAATTGTGTTACTTAGGGGTTTTTGTTGGTACCAACATTTTTCCTAGTTTTCGGGAAAATGTCGTATAACCAATATCATTATATGTTATAGTTCTAACAGTGCAACTAATAGTACTTTTTCATAAGGAAAGCAATAAAACATAATTTGTCTGAATTTCCATATTTGTATAACTACATATTTTATACCGCAAAGTTATTTTAGTTGATTTTCAGTAATATTTTTTATATCATCTATGTTATTAATAAGATTTGTGATATACTCTTCATATACATTTATACATATATTCTTAATTCCAACATTTTATATTTTTGATTATATGATATTTATATATTATAATTATTTGTTTTAAAAAGAATTGTTACAGAACTTACGATATATTTCGCTTAAAGCTGCATACATTTTGTAGTACGTAATAATGGGCCAACAATAATAAATTTAGTAAATCTTAAACTGTAAGAAATTGACCAATCACAATCAATTATTTTTGTCATTTTCGGCCGTGATTAGGCCGAATATAATAGATGTAGTAATCCTTAAGCCGTAACAAATTGGCCAATCAATTGTCTTTTTGATTTACGACTGTGATTAGTAAATTTCTTATAATTTAAATATTTAAAAATTACTATATTTATTGTAGACATTTGCATATTTATATTTATTTAAATTATACTTTCTAGTTTTACATATTTTATCTATTTCTACCTACTTATCTATTTATCTATATCTATTTCCATTATATCGCAGACATTCAGTCACTGACATTGTTATAACCGTGGATATTATTTTTAGCGTTGTCGAAACGTTTCAAGAAAAACCGCTTCGACAGCGCGACAACGATGTTATGGTTGTGCAAGTGCTGCGCTAAGCGTCACCTTGGACATGCCATACATCAGACTTTGGGCCAGGTCAGCACCAAATTTGGCAACTCTCTTGTTGCCAAAACATCCCCTCCGATAAAATGATTAATTACTATAAAAAGAACGGAGAAGAGCGCAAAAGCAGGGTTCTTCTTCCGGTCTCTCGTCAGCAACGTACACGCACCGGCGTTAATGCCGTCCGAATATCCGTGTGACTCGCACACGATAACGCGTCACTCACACACTGCTGCGTGTAGGTGAGCCTAGAGCAGCACGGAGTGGCGGAGAGAGCTAGCGGTATACGATCGTCGGACGCTTGGAGAGGGAATAGTGGTGGGAGTCGCGGCGATCTTCCATCCTCTATCGCAAACGTAAGAACGAGAGAAATAGCATTATAAGACGTCTGGACAGAAATGCCGTCCTAAAATACGTGTGACACACACTAAGAAAACGCTTGACTCACACTGTCTCGTCTATACGTGAGCAATACGCGGTGTCCCGACGACTGTTTCGCTCGCTCGAACGTTCATGCATTTTTCATTGTTAGCAAGGAAA